TCTACCCTACTTCCCACCTTCCCACACTTGTTATGAATAAGTACTGGATATCCTTGGTGCCTTTTGTTTTTGTTGCCCAGAGAAGCTTAGATCAGCCCCAAGACCCAGCCCTCTCTAGTCCTGTCTCTATCTTCTGATCTTGCAGCTTGCATTGTATTGCCTCATAGGAGACTGAGACCAACTAAAGAAGTCAGTGATAACGTTCCCTATAGGATACCACTTACTGGAGAGTTAGCACAGTAATAATAGTGGGTTACAGTATAATTTAAAGTTCTCAAAAATCAGATCTTTGGTGGATATCCTCTAATATAATTGCAGTCAGCAATACCTTGCATTCACCTGAGGAGCTTTCATCACCAGATTGCACAAAGACACAAGGAGACCAAAGGACCTGGTCAGTGTCACAGGGCTAAAAAATGCCAAGGTTAAGTACAGCAGACCAGTCCTTCCCTGAGCTCTGGACCAGAGACATGTCCTTTCTATTTGAGAACCTTTCAGAGCTATGGATTTCTCTGGAGCTACTTCTAGTTTCTGTCAGTGATGGAATTTTATTCTTCAAGCCAACCTGTTTTCCAAACAGGCCTTACTCCCACATCTTGGACTTACTCCTGGTATCAAAAGATATTTTATTATGGCCTCAGGAGTTTTCCTTCTAGGACGAGGAAATAACCAATGTAATTGCTGTTCTGTAATCTTCTTGTTCAAGATTAGTGATAAAGATTTACTTAATTTCTAAGTGTTTAAAATTGCCTGTCTTAATTCATCAACATTGTAACACTAGATTCTTAGATTTTATGGGGGATATATGAAGCTGTAAACCTTAGCCAACTGAGAAATTCAATTGTTTGTTGAAATGATGTAAAAGCAAGACGGTACTTTTCAAATACCCTTTTGGTTTGAAATCACAGAATACTGGATTCACAGTCTATTAACACTAGGTTCTTAAGATTTTTTTATGGGAGAAATATGAAGCTGTAAACCTTATCCAATTGAGAAATTCAATTGTTTACTGAAATGATGTAAAAGCAAGATGGTACTTATCAAATAGGTACCAAATTTGATTTGAAATTAGCACAGATTCCTGGACCCAGTCTTTGAAGCCCATCAAGCCACTCCAAAATGACAATATAAAGCTGAAACAGCAGGAAAGGCATTCTCCCTATTTCCCCTTTGAATTATCTTGATAACAATAACCAGGCTGTACTAGTTATATAACTCTTCCCTGTAACTCACAGAAAGCCACTGTATATTTCAAAAACTACTAAATAAAACACACCTAGATGATTGGAAGAAAAATTGTTTTCTACTAAGTCTTTCAATGGTGCTTTGGGAAATTCTGCTCTTCCAATAATAATAGTGCCTTTGAAAAACATTAGTTGACATACCCTTTATACACATACGTAAGCACAATTACTTGTTTTTGATAACGCTTTATTTTTAATATTCAGGCTCACATTTATAACATTTATTGATCACTCACTCTTCCAGGCATTATTCAAAGTTATTTACATGTATCATTTTATTTAATCTTCAGAACTCTAGGCAGAGATTCTGCAGCTGCTTTCCCTACTGTCAAATAAGGATCCAAGTATTTCGGTGACCTAAGTTCAACCAGCAGAAACAGCAGAATCAGACTCAAATTCAGTTTGATTCCAATGACTATACTCTTAACCTCTTCTTCAAGTGTTCCGATGATTTCTATCAAAGCTAAGGGTAATTACAAAGACAGCCCTTCCTCATCTGCTGCCCAACCTGCTTCCTATCTCTTCCACTTCCCTCCCTACTTCCTCAGGCTCTAATGCATTCCCCCAGGTTTCTTTCCTAGCTATAGCCAGGAAGGTGGTCTGCATTCCAGCTCCCAGCCAAAAGACAGTTGTTTGGACAAAATACCTGACACCCACAGCTTAAAGGAGAGGTTTACTTTGGCTCATGGTTTCAGAGGTTTTGGTCCATAGTTGCTGGCTCCAAGACAGGAACATCGTAACAGAAGGGCATGGTGGAGGCGAGCAGCTCAATTCACGAGGGCCAAGAAGCAAATTCGAAAGAGCCACAGAGAAAGAGGTCAGGGACCGGATATGGTGCCAGTCACTCCCACAACGACCTACTTTCTCCAACTAGGTCCTACCTCTCTCTTTGTAGCCCATTCAGATATGAATCCATTAATCCAATCACCTCTTAATGAGTCTCAATTCAGTCAAGCTGACAATCAAGATTACCTGTCACATGCAGAGAAGGAGAGTTCAGAAATTTGAAGGTAAAATCTGCTCATTATATCACATTTATGATTGAGAACCAAAAATTTTGCTAAAATTCTTCTGAGGGAAAAAAAAAAAAGATCTTTTGTTCTTAGGGTTGGCTTACATAACCTGATTTATTAGCAAACACTACATTTATTAGATGTCTCCATCTGGGCTTGATTTGGCTAAGGAACTGCTTTTCTGGCAGAGGGTGAATGGAGACCTCTGACAGCTACAGTGGACAGCAGGTATGTGGCTTCAAGGTGTCCAGCAGACCTACACACTCTTTCCAGCAGGGTGACCTTAAGCCAGTGCTTTAACTCCAAGCATCAGTTCTTTGTAAAAACAAGAGACATTGAAATTCATCACCTGAGGTGGCTGTAAAGATCAAATGACATCACGTCTGTGAAACGCTCCTGCATAGGACTTGGCAGAGTAGACATTTAATAAATGGTAGTTTTATTTAATTTTATGTCATTTGAAGGGAGGGGCAGATGTAAAAGCATATTATTAAGAAATAAGGAGACAGAAACCATATATTTATGGTCTGCAATCTTTGCTTGAGGAAACTGTTCACTCGAACTACATTTGCAGTTGAGATAGGGACTGCAGAACCCTCTGTGCTACTTCTCTCAGTAATCAGACACATCCAAGTTTGGCTGTATGTGTGTTCCTTCTCTGTGTATTACTGCTATGTAGATATTTACAGTATAAAAATCTAGAGACAAAAACAAAATCAAAGTAGGAAAATGCAGATGAACATATGTAAAATTTTATGTTCTAGGGGCTCCTAGAAATCATTTACAAAGATAAGAAATGTAACGCTCCCATAAAAAAATGAAATCATAAGTTCTACATAATAAAGAATCTTTATAGAGGCAACTTACATGAACAACTCCCATTTTCCTTTACATAAAATAGCATAAAGTTCCACTGGAAGTATTGTTTCTATCTTTTAAGACTAAAAAAACAAAAGAGGCCACTATTGTTTGCTTAATGTTTCTCTCTGGGTAACGATAACATGACAATATACAGAGAAAAGGAATGAACTCGCTAAAGAAATGCAGAAGCTGACAGCTGCAATAGAGGACAATTCCACGACAGGCCTTCCTGGAGCCCCTGTCAAAGGCTCTTCTCTGCATGAAGTTCCTGAGACTGGCTGGATCAGTATCTCCGTACCTCAGAGGCTTGGGAGGATTTTCTACCTAAAGGATGGGACACCCAGGAAGGAATCCAGCCCACAGTGACACAGACTGCAGTCCACAGCAAATCCCCTAAACCAGCCCCTGAACACTACTAGCAAAGCCCTCCTCTGCACAGCCAGAGCAGGAGCCCGTTCCTGAAACTGACTGTTTCATGCTGAACTCAGCAACAAGTCTCTCAGAAAGCTCAGATCACCTAGGCTGAATAAACAAGCAGCAAGAATAAATTTCCCACGGAGTTTCAACTGTAACTAAATAAGCTGCCTATCCTGTTTCACTAAAAACTCATGCACACCCCTACATGTTCTCCTAACCCCCAAAACCTATAGTTAACAATTTTCAGGAATCCTCATAGGTTTAACAATGTTTAAAGATAATTTCAAGAAGGATTTCATATCTCCCAGGTTATGCCTATAAGTAGCCAAATCAAATAATACATTTGTTCTGAAAATAAAATACTCTTTTATTAGTTTCAGAATTTGTACTCATCTTCTGCAGTCACCACGGTACAGATCTTTTCTACGTATTACATTGGGATATTTGAGAGACTCAAAACAGCTTTTCTGAGTATTCTCTCTTTCTAAAGGCACCCAGAGAAAGAAAAGACCAGTTGCAGACAGAGGAAACTCCTATAAGAGGCAGCTATTCATTTCCTGAATTAATCCACTTCCTTCTTCTTCTTCTTCAGACATTTCCTTTCCTTCACCAGCGTTTTTGATACTAACATTTAATTCCTGCATACACTTCTGGACGTTGGTATACGTGCTGCCAAAGCGAGCACCACTTCTGGACCTTGGGAGGGAATCCAGGCAAACTCCAGTGGCCGCGTCATTGCTGACACCACTGCAGTGACAGGAGATTAGACCCACACGTGAAGTGCCATGCCAGCAGGGCAGAAGGCTCCCTTCGATGTCAAATGATTCAGCAAGAGAAACTGAACCGTTATGATTTAAACCTGTGTCTGAGAAGAACATGTTATCCAAGAGGAGAGGATGCATGCAAAAACATTCATGGCCCCTGATTGTTTTCCACAAGGAAAACTATCACATCTTTTCTAAGGAAATCCATTTGGGTACCCTTTCAAACCTTAAGCAAACTGTAACAGTAATGAGTTACTGAGTTTCTCCACTTTGAGTATAACCTTAAATATAAAACTGGGTATCTTATAATTATTAAAATTATATTTTATTAGACATGCATATTCTCTATTTGGTTTGACTAATCAAAGCAGACAAAAGAAGCTGAACAGAAATCTGGCAATCATAATTCTGTGCTGAGGCCGGGCGTGGTGGCACACGCCTATAATCCCAGCAATCAGGAGGCTGAGGCAGGAGGATTGCTGTGAGTTGAAACCAGCCTGGGCTAAATAGTGAGTTCCAGGTCAGTCTCAACTACATAGTCAGACCCTGTCTCAAAAAAACAAACAAACAAACAACAACAGCAAAAAACATAATTCTGTGCTGATAAATGTAAAAATATAATTTAAAAATAAAATAAAATCAGTTTTTACATGAATATAGTATTTTTAAACCAGCAGTAAGTAACACAACAAAAACAGACAAAAGGAATAAAGTCCCTTAAAATGTTTATTTTTGTCAGAACAGCTGACAGTTTTCTGTTAAGTATTTTGATCTATTATTGTAATAAGCATTTTCCCCTTTGAAAACCCACTCAAAATATCCCAATCCTTGAGGTAAAGAACTTTAAAAAGAAACCACTCTGATATTTTTTAAAGAAAAAAAAAATCTTAAAAATTCCTTTAACTTGATAAATAGAAATAATCTCTTCTTGGTTCTACTCTGGTGAACATAGATGCATTTTATACAGCAAGTATCAGTCACTTATTGGCAAACCAAAGGCGAAAACTAGTCATTTACATGTTCTATTCAAACACAGTGCAACACGGCCACATTCATATATACTTTTTCTTTTTCTTTTTTTTTTTACAGTTACCAATACTCTCTGGCAAAAAAACAAGATTTTGGAATGGCAAAAGCAAAAGAAGTTTTAGGTCTCCAAGCTCCAGAAGGAAATTAATCTGAGTCCTCATCATCAAGATAGTCCTCGGCATTGCTTAATGATCGAACTGCATCTGAAAGGAATGGGAGAAAAGGAAAATAAATTAAGCTCAGAAGCAAAAGACTGAAATGAAAAAAAATGTTCTAAAATAGAGCTGGACTTCATCAAATGCTAAAACAACCCAAGAAAGGGCTTAAGAGGAAGAGAGCTGATCTTTAAGTGTCACCTATTCAAACTTCTAGGAAAATTCTTAAAGCAATTGATTACCCTTAGTGTAATTCTAGGAGTGGGGAGGAAATGGAATTTGAACAAAGATACGTTGCTGGGGCTCCATTAACGTAGGACATGACAGTTGGGTCCTGGTCTCCGAAGACCACAACCCCAGAGCTCCCGGGAGGCATGACTGAGTCCGAGACTGGGACAGAAAACTTAGAGACAGATTCACAACTCCTGTGAATCCCTAAAGCAAGGATCCTCTTAAGGATAAGGTCATGGGAAAAGGGCTACATATCCAAACTAAATTGGAGGGCTCTAGTAGCTGAAGATGGATTATCAATAAAACCACTCATTACAATGGACTAAAAGCACATCAAATAGTTCAAACACACGCAGAAAATAACTCATTTGAGTTCTTTCAGAGAATCGATTCATTATGTTGAAAACTGTTAAAGGGCAAAATCAAGCATTTATTTTTGTTCTTACTACAAGAACTATGTGGCGGAGTAACTAAACAGTTGATGAGGGCACATGTTCTGTGTGGAATGTTCCAGCTAAGAACTGAGAAAAATAACCAAATTAGAACATCTCCATTTTGCAACCATTAATGAAACAACAGACCTAGACACTGATCACAGAAAGAGGGACAACCAGTATTATGTGCTATACAACTCATTCTTTTCTCCACACAGAAGAAAGACAGGTGACAGACGGAGAGAGGACATGGTGCACCATGGGATTACAATCAGCCATGTCCAGACTGGGAAATCAAGTCCGCTGATCCTGTTTCTTTAAGAAATAATTTGCAAGGCTAGAAAGAGGGGAAAGAGAAAGGGAACACTGATTTTAAAAATCAACTGAGAAGCATTTATCAATCACAAACTGACCAGAGGTGAACCCTGATTTCAGCTACTAAAGACAAAATAAACAGAATGTGTGAGAAACACGGCAACTGTAGCACAAGGACAAGACAGTAAGGAATTACTGCCAATTTTAGGTAATGATATTGTTAAAAGCATCTTCATCTTTATATGTTTAGGACAAATGGTTACTGAGAAAAAGGATGGGAGAGGGAAGATCAGCCGAAGGGATGCAGAAACAGAGAGGGACAGAAGGACAAAGGAAGGGGAAGTGGGTGCCAAGCAGGGCACAGGCTGGCTTCGGGGAGCCTTACGCCTCCTAAGCGAATGCTAGAAGCCTCCGAGTTGGCTACAGTCTTCATTCTCCTCGAGGGGTTCTGAGGAGCTGAAAGGAGTGTCTCTTACACATACCCAAGAACTTCAGGACTTCATCTGAATTCATAGAAACACATCTTTTCAAGTTGAAGCCCCAAAGACAAACAGCAAAGCTCTTTCCCCTTCTACTTCACTACTACAAGCCCACATTTTGCCCATTTGAGACACACTTGTGTCCTTCTATTTATGTCAGTTCTTATGCTTTAATCCTGTTTCCCTTTTATTCAATAGAGAAAGATGACTTGTTCTGAGGCAAACCCAGTCTGCAAGGGAATCAAGACACAGACAAGAGTGGGGCAAATAAATCCCTTACCCTTCTTTCCTTTTGTGGACTGCTCCGAGGCAGTCTTCTCTGGACACTTCCCATGTGGCCAAATGCCCAGAGATGAGCTGCACCTCTCCACCTGGTGCCTACCAGCATGCTAATATGCCTGTATCCTCTCCTCCCTCCCTTCAGTCAAGCCCCACCATTTAACAAACAAACATAAACAAACACAATAAACTGTGGAAGGATAAACTCACTCAGGTGGATGACTCACCTACAAATAACAGCCCTAAGTGGAAGAAATGAGGCACAAAAAAGTACCTAATACGGCTCTATTAATATCACGTTCACAAACACACATAACTCATCTATACTGAAAAAAGCAGAAGACTAAGTGAGGCCTCTAGGGTGTGGGAAATGTTCTCTGGCTTCATTTAAGATGTAGTAAATAGGTGTGAATGTGGTAAAAAAACCGTCCACACAGCTAGACAACTGAGATTTATGCATGCGACAGTGTAAATTATACCTAATTTTTTAAAAACTGGAAAAAAAATTTACAGTGCTCAAGTCAAGTATGACCTGGAGCCTTCCTCCATATTCCAAAGTTATGCTCCACATAATTGACATGCAAATTATTTTGTCCCTATAAAAAACAGAAGGTGTGATTTGTTAGTGGATAACCATATCAAAATGGACCACATCTAGCTTAGGGTTCATGCTGGCAGTTAAGTACACTACATGGTCAAATGTTCCAACTCTCATTACAACTACATTCATAATACAAATTAAGACTTTTAAATTTCATGACTGGTGGAATGAAACAAGAAAAAAACAACACAAAAACTGATACATGAAAATCCATGTCTTACCATCACTAGGCCCCCAAGATTACTTCATTAATAAACCCATTAAGTGATCAAATTATGTACAAATTAAGAAAGACAGACTACAAACACTAGTAAAGAATAGAGAAAAGAGCACCAATCTCCCAGACCTATTCTACAAAAACTACAGGAAGTTGAGGGGGAGAAGAATTTTCCACTCCCACCCCACTCCAATTGCTCAGGAAGAGGCTTCTAGGTACAGTTCTGGAGTATGAGGTTTGGTGTTTCCCTTGCCTATCATAATTGCACTCACAGCATGGATGAGACTGAGAGGTTCATAAGAAACCTTACGCCTACTCATCAGCAGGAAGTCAGTGGCGGAGGAAGGAAGTGAGGCTATAGTCCTCCCTGACCCAACCTACACAGCGAGGAGGAGGCTGATTCAAGTGAAAATGGTCTCCCACACAGCTGCAAACGTGGCTTCCCAGTAAAATGCACCTGGGCAGCACCAGCTCAGCTGATAAACATTTCCTCACTCCCCTAACAGACACCATCTCTGCAAATGACTCATTAAAGAAAGACTAGCTCTGCCAGCAAGTATGCCGGGCATAAATAAGAATTCCAAATTGATTCATGTTTCACACTGTCATCTGAAAGAAAGTGAGAAAATAAAACAAAAATCTAGGACAAAGACATAACTGAAGAAAGGACAAAAGGTCCAGCAAATTCATGATTGCATTATGAACCTAGGTGGAATCTGGTAACAGGTATGGAGGGTAATTCTGGGAAGCTCCCTTGTACGCTATGACTGGAGGAGTTCTGCTCATTACTGTTGACTGACGAAGGCAGGAGACCACAGGGCCGTATGGTGCTGCTTCTGCTAAGAATGGAATATGGATGGAATAACATGTGAGACTTTTAATGAGGGATATTCAAGAGAGAAGTCATTTTTTTTGCAGGGCTTGAAAACCAATGCAAATTCTTCTAAATTGTTAAAAACAAAAAATTGTGTTCCACTCCATGTTATTAAGTTAACCTGGAATCAAACATCTTTTGCCTCCATGATGGAAATTTGATTTCTGGAAACTTCTTTTGGTGATTTTCTAACATAAATCAATTAAACTTTAGACTCTAAAGCAGCACTGAAAAGGTTCAGAATGATGATCAGCAATGAAAATGACTTCTAAAACGTCAATCTTAAGGAAAGAAGTGAAAGGAAAAAAATAGGAGATAAGAAATAAATGGAATAGGAAACACATGTGTAAATACCAAATAGTTTCTCTGGTGTGAAAAACTAAAATTGCAAATAGGTTCAAATGGTGCAACTGATAGTGTGAAATAGGAAGAAAATGTGTAAAGGGGAAATGGGAAGAGGAGGGAAAAGGAAATAAGGGAGAAGAAAAATGTGAAAACAGGAAAAAATGGAAACAAATTCTTTGTAAATACGGAAGGATGGAGAGGGTAAAGGGAGGGCAGAGGTATGAAGAAAAAACAAGAACCAAGACACATCATGTAACTACTGTATACCTAAAAAGTACCAATAAACTCAATGAAATTGAAAAAATAAAAGAAAGAAAGAGAGAGAGAGAGAGAGAGAGAGAGAAAGGAAGAAGAAAAGAAAGGAAGGAGGGAGGGAAACAAAAAGCTTTTACAAATAGGGAGGGATTGAAGGGACAGCAGGGTAATGGGGTAAAAAATAAGAACCAAGACACATCATGTAAAGGTACAAGTTTCCAATGATCAATGTAAATGTATACCTAAAATGTACCAATAAAAGAATTTAAGGGAAAAAATAAATAAAAATAAAAAGTCACTCTTCTATTATAGTAATTTCTTTCTAAAAAATGATGAAAAAAAAGTATCATTGTTGGGATATACTTTAAAAGTGCCAAACATAAATAGTAGAATAAGGCTTGAGAAATAAGAAAAAAAGGGACTTAATGTCTCCTTCATCAAACCTTTTCCTACCCTTCTTTGTTTCTCTCTCCTAGGTTGGCAGGGGTCAGGATGCTGCTGCTGATTAGAAAGGAAAGAGAGGTAGATGGGAAGAGTGTAAGACACATCCTCCCAAGATTTGTAAGAATTAACTTAGGGGGGAATCTTCAACAGACTACATACTAAGAAGTCAAAACTCACAAATGATTCAACTGCATTTTAACATCTTTCTTTCAGAACAACTGCACAAACTCCTTTCCTATCTTTTACAAAAAACTTATTCTACAACACTGACAGATATTTTTGTCTTTAAGAATGTGCATGCACCTTGATGCTGGGGATTGAGCTCAGTGGTTCCGCCATCTGCCTCGCAAGCACATGGTCCGAGTTCAATTCCCAGTACAAAAAAAAAAAAAAATTGGAATGTGCACCTCGGGCCAGGGATTTAACTCAGTGGTGTCACACCAGCCTGGCAGACATAAGGTCCTGAGTTCAATCCCCTGTACCATGGGGGAAAACAATAGAAAGAAAGAAAGAGAAAAAAAAAGAATGTGCACCCCAACTGTGTTTCGAAAAACCATCCACAGTACTACAAATACATTCCAAAATGTTTAGCAAAGTCTAGAATAATTTAAATTTTTATTGATACCCTAATTTAAATATAATCTCAGACTACTGGGTGTTAATTTAAATAATAATTAACCATAACCACTCATAAGAATGTATCTGAAATGAAGGAATGAACACCAGGGTTCTCTGAACAGGATAGTCATAAAAAGCAAGATGATCAGAAAATGATTGCAAGGAACAATATAAACACAGAAAACAGGGAAAGATCCATATTCTTCAAGTTTCTGTTTTTGAGAGTTTTCTTCTATTCTGGAGGTTCTAATTTAATGGAATATAATTAAACTGCACAACCATCTGAAGTGTTTATCAAGAAGAAACTTTTCCCCAGTAGTGAGCTGGCACATTTTCATCACGAGGGTTCCAGAAGAGAAAGGATTTAAGACAAATACCTGCTCCCTGCTTCTTTTTCAGGAGCGATGCACAGGCAGCATTAGTGGCCATGTCCAAGGCCAGCTTCTTCTCGTTGTTCCGTAAGTCTGTCCTAGCACCTTCACAGCGTGAGAAAAGGAAGGGAAGCATTTAAGGACTACAGAAGCAGCCAGTCCTCTTTCCACCAAGACTAATCACTTTGAGAACAATTCTGGCTCAAAAGAGTGTGTCTGAGCATCTTTGGTCTGGGAGCTCATTGCTGTCTGTGATAATTACACTCTGCCGAAACACTTTTCTTCCCTCCAGTCCCCACAGGACTGCACATCTGAGCAAGTTGACCATCCCCTTGCTGAGGCCTAAATGAGCACCTAGACCCTCCAGGTTACGGTGCCTTGGCAAGAATTTACGGAGCTCAAATTCAATACTTCCTTTGCCTTTTCTGCTGAAGGGTCTTAAGAAAAAGACTATTTGGACTGAGCTTCAAGGGATTAATATTTTATATCTGTAAGTTTACTTTCATGCAAAGTAGCAGGAACCAAAACACAATAATATCAGAAGAGAAGTCACCGTTCCCCAATTCACTGTTCCCAAACCCTCTTCTACCCACTTTGCCTTTGCACCTAAAATTACACCTGAACTATTAATATATTTGCATTGTTAAATACTGAGAAACACAGAAATATACGCAACAAAAATATAGTTCCCATTTTGTCCTCCATCTTCTCCCCTCTCCAGAGGCAACCATCCATAACAAGTGCACTTGAGTTCGGACCTCCCTCATATGTGTCAGAGCCTTTATCTACACAGATAAACACGTACACAAAATCATGTTAGTGCTACGGTAAAAACACAATCATCTCTTGAGCTCCTCTGGATCAGTATTAACTGAAATACAAGGTAAGCCATATGTGTAATTTTAAAATTTCTAGTTAACACATTTGGAAAAGGTGAAATTAATTTTAATACTTTTATTTAACCTGATATATCGGAAATGCTATTACTTCAATTTGTCATCATATCAAATTATTGGGATATTTTATTTTTTTCACTAAATCTTCAAAATCTGTCATGCATTTTATACTTACGACACATCCTACTCAGTTCAGAGAGGCTCACTGCAAGGGCTCAGCAGCACAAATGGCTAGTAGCTGCCTATTAGAGTACATAGCCTCAGTATAACCTTTAAGGGGTATGATGGCGTTCCTCACAGTGTCTGAACTCTTAGAACAGAGGCTTATGTCACCAACATACTTAAAATTTTAACATGTTCCCTTTCACACATGCTACACCAGTCTCAAGGAACCCTAATGACTCCACCACTCATGACTTGGGGATTCCAATATATTACAGCCTTCTGAGCCAAGATGTGGTGCAGGGTGAAGAGTGTGGTCCTCTGACAGGGTTAACTGACGTTTATGCAACAAATGTGGATGGATGATCAGGCCGTAATTTCCCTTGTTCCCTCTCAATTATACAAAAACAGTAGATCAAGGTGTCTGCTCAACTCAAAGTAAGATGTGGCAGTCATAGCACTTCTTCTGAGCTACCAAGACTTTCCTGAGAACAGGACCTCTGTAATGTTTCCCCAGTAGCTAAGACAAAAATCTACTCCTTATTTGTGTAAGGCCCTGTTTTCCTATAATCCCATGAATATACAGAAGAAGTTCTAAAAGTAATAGGTAACTGTAAAAGGTTCTAATTTATGATAAAAACAGACATAAGCAAACCCTTATAATGTCACCTTACCCTAACAATTCTGTGATACAGACAGAATAGGAGCTTAAAAATCTCAGTTACAGGGCTGAGGATTTAGCTTAGTATCACTGTGCCTGCCTTCTAAGCACAAGGTCCTGAGTTTGACCCTTGATACAGGGAAGGAAAAAAAAATCTGTTTCAAAATAAGGATGCTATTATTCTTCCTATTTCAAATGGTATTATTTTTCAGGATAAACAGAGACCAGACAAATTCAGGACAAAATTTACCTTTTTCCAGAAGCAACTGGACAATGTCTGCGTAACCCTTCCAGGCAGCAGCATGCAAAGCTGTGTCCCCCAATTTGTTCTACAATGACAGGAGGGAAGTGAAATTTTAGAAACAGAGGGTGAGTTGACTGTAGACATTAACTTTAGGGCCAGGAATTTAGCTCAGTGGTACTATGTCTGCCTCACAAGTGCAAGGTCCTGAGTTCAATCCCCGGTACCAAAAAAAAGTACTAAAAACAAACAAACAAAAGCATTAGATAGCATCTATTATTGACTGATAACAGACACTTGCTCTTGTAATATTATGTGGACATTAACTTTAACCTACTGAAATCTAAAATGATAACGAAGTTATAGAGCCATGCAGAATTCCAAAGAGGACAGGAAAGGAGACTCAAGTGAGGAGAAATGAGTCATCTGGGGAGATGGAATGAGGAGCAGAAACTGGCATGGCAGAGCACAGGCTGAAAGGAAACCAGGAGGAGGCAAGTAGGTCTGGTCTGTCTGCACAGAAACCCAGCAGGGATAAGGAATCACAGATTCCTGTAAATGCCAGGACAGGAATGAGGTACGGGTGAAAATGGGAACTGTTAAAAAATGTATTAGGAAATAACTGGAACCCCAGGACGTCCTGCCAAGTGACCCAGTAAATAGCAGGATTACCCTGTTGAGAGAACAGCCAGATAGTTTCCAAGCTATAGACACAGGTGTGAAAAGTACAGCCCCAAAGCAGGGTTGGGTGAAATTAAAATTAGCATGAGGGTGCTGTCCAGCAAAATAGCCAAAACCTCACCACTTCACCCAGTGCAGAAACCCACCAGCCACCAAACCCAGTGCACATAGCTGCCAGTCACACTTAAAAGGAATGGAGGGATCAAGACACTAAGTATTTCAGCGGAGCCTGCAATATATGAGGAAAGACCAAGACAAATAAGATAAATGGCTCCCAGGAAGAAAAGATAGTACAATGAACAACAGACACATTTTTAAAGGCCATAATTAAATTATCAGAGAGGTGTAAGATGATACTGCATCATGAAACAAGAAAAGGATGCTACTTGAAATTAACAGAGTAAAATAAGAGCTTCTGGTCAAAAGAATTCTAAGATAGGCCCCAAGATTGCTGCCCCCGGTACACACCACTGTGTAGTCCTTCTCCTTGAATATGGGTGAGGCCAGTAAATGTAATAGTCTGCCACTCCTATACTGGGTTGCCATCCTACTTGAGGCCTTCATCAGAGTTATGCAAATGCCAGTGCTAAGGTCTCTGAACCAGGAGTGTTTTCCAAATAAACCTGCTTTAAGTATTGCCAAGGCAAAACCTGCCAAATAAAGTAGCCTGCCTTGAGTACTGAATTATAATAACAGAAAACTCTCTGATCCAGGAATCAAAATGGCATCAGACCACTGCAAAACAACCTTGGAAACAAGAACCCCAAGGAGCCATGTTTTCAAAATTCTGAGGGAAATTATGTCCAACTTAGTAATTGTGATCAGCTACACAGTCAACCCAAGTTCCTCCTTCTCAGGAATCTACATGAAGATGTTCTCTGGTATAAAGGAAGACAGAGGATCTAGAAAAGTAAAGACACATGTACCAGACAGAAAGGAGATTACCAGAGGGACAGCAAAGGGTAGCAGACACCAAGTTGCTCAGATTGGAGAATGAGGATGGGAGCTGCAGGAAGTATGAGACCACAGAGAAAAGAAGTCACTAGTTATCTTACACATTTTAGAACAGTACATCAAGAGTATAAAACAGTAGACTTCATAAGATTAACAAAATACCCAAATAAAAGTCAATAATTCAGCAAAGAAACAAAAGTTATTTAAACAGTGATTACTACTTAGTGGTAATAATGTAAACATCTAATGACCAAAGCTATGGTACAATAATTGGAAAAACAGGAGGAAAGGTTGAGTGCTAAAGTGCTAGAAGATGAAAATCAGGAAAAACAAGTTTAAACCTTCATCAACCAAGTGGGAAGCCAAATTACATACGAAGATGATGTATGATAAGACAGTTCCATAAACCTATTACTAACTCAAAGGTAGAGAGAGATACACTCTATGGCTCGTGTTATGTTATGCCTCATGCAGTCAGTCATAGGTGGGCTTTTTTAGAGGTGGCTAGATCTAGAGTGTGTAATGCTGGGATTTATCATGGTGTAATGCAAGGATCGAGGGCACTAGGATTAAGGGTGTGAGTGCCATCTGCCCTAAGTAACCTGGAAAAGACACAAGGGATAGAAAGAGCTATGATCATCTCTTGCTTGCTTTGCTACCTTCTGCCTGCCATGAACTGTTTCTCCTCTGTGATGCCTGTCTGCCATGCCACCTGCCTTGGAGCCAGCCAATTATGGACTGAAATCTATACAAACTAGGACCTAAATAAACCCTCCCCTTTAATTTTTAGTGTTGAGTATTTTGTCTCAGCAATGACAGAAAAGTAACTAAGTACAAGAACTGAATACTGAAAACAAAAAATAGGATTGGGGTAGGTATTTTGTGCTTTGCTCAATTTTAATTTTAAAGGCCAGGCACGGTGGCACACACTTATCATCTCAGCACTGGGGCAGTGGGGGCCTGAGGCAGGGTTGCTGTGAGTTTGAGGCCAGCTTGAGCTACGCAGTGAGTTCAAGGCCAGTGTGAACTACACACATAGTTAGATCCTATCTCAAAAAAACACACACACACACACACACACACACACACACACACAAAACAATAATAATGACAACAATAACAATAATTATAATTATAGTCTTAATAAAATAATTGTTTTAAAGCTATGTGCTTAAGGGCTGGGGGCATGGCTCAATGGCAAAGTGATTGTCTAACATATACAAGATCCTGGCTTCCATCACCAGTACCCCAAAACAAAAAATCTATATGCTGACAGTATTCTGACTGCAATATTCTGCATATGAATAAGCTGCACCAAAGAAACAAGGCAGGTGTGTTCAATAATTTCCTCACACTGAGCAGTCTTACCTGTTGGTTCAGTTCAATATTCGGCTGAGTAAACAGCACTTCCACTACATCTGAAATTTAAATGGGAAAGATATCTTTTAAGAATGAAAAGTAAAAGCTTGATAAAACTAGGCATAATTTTAAAAGAGTATTCTTTAATAGGATCTTCGAGAAAAAAATCTTACAACAAATTTCTCAAAGTGTATCTATAGAAAAACCTAAGAATCTGGAAAGCAGAATTATTTCAGGAGAAAAAATTTTCAAACAGTGGCTTTTGTATTTTCATATGATAATCTATTATAGGAATACTTTTACATTTGCTATAGCACAGAACTTATCATTCACAAAACTAACTTAGGTCTATTGGCTAAAAGAAAATAGGCTTCTTTAAGGAGGGTCACAGATTTTTTTCCCTTGGCTATGCTGTTTAATTTGTTGGCTTCTGGTTTCTTAATTTGGGGCTTATTTTTTACATTGTAGGGGAAGGTAGAAAGTTGTGGATTTTTGACCTGGATGAAATACAGCTAGAAGTTCAATTTGTTATTATTGATTATAACATTAAAAGTATCAACTGAATTACAAACAAGCAGATGCTTTCTCCTGAAACCAGCAGTCTGCATTAAACTTAAAATGCAAATCATAAAAGTGTATCTTGGAAAAAGCTAGGCTACAGAAGCCAAATTTGCCCTTTCCTCTTGTAAGATCAGATAGTGAGTTTGCTTTCCTATGACTATTATTTTCTAGTAACCTGTCTAAGTCTGAGAGAGGAAAAGAAGTTTCTAGTCTTTCAAGTGAGAGGTCCATGCAGAGAGGCTATCCAGACACACTGCACCCATAGTGTTCGGAGCCTCCAGGAACCGTCTTTTGGCTGATGTTCTCACGGATTTGAAAAGAATAGCCACCTTCTGTAAATTTGGTGCCTTAGGTGGAACAATGTATAGTGACAAACAAAGCATCCTACCTTTGTGACCCCCATGACAAGCCCAGTACAAGGCAGTGCTTCCGGCTTTGTCCAGGCCATTGACACCCACTTGGTTGTCCAGGCACTCCCTCAGCCAGCTCAAGTTGCCTGCAAGGGTTTTACATTTATAAAAATGTAAGAAAAAGGCTTTTATTCTCTATTTCACTTTTAAATCAATTTCATCCTTCATAATTTCCATTTCCAAAGAACTAATTTGAAGCAGGAAACAGTGAGGACCCTGGCACAGATAACTCTTTAAACACGAAGATAGGAGCAAAAAGCAGCTTTTAATGATGCTGGCAGTTCAGCCAGTCACTGCTGTCAGTCTCAAGAGCCTTGAATAGAAATTCGCACTTCCTTACCTCTTCTTCCATCTATGAAGCTTAAGTCCACTGAAGCTTCCCTGGGAATATAGCAAGCAGGACTGATGCAAAGAGCAGCGGAGGTGGGGAGAGCAGAGTGCTGGCAGGACTTTCTGAGTCCACTACACTCCTCTGGTGACAGATTACAGAAGTTGTCATGGCTACTCAGTACATCCTACAAAGAGCAGTTAACCCGCCGTTGCCCAATCCACACGGAGGGGTAGTTTCCTCTCTCCTTCCCCTCTTTGAGCTTCTGACTGAACAGCCTCACCTTTTATATCAACTTTTACCATTTACATTGTGTTTAACCTCATCAAGGGTCCTAATTTGTGACTGGTGTGAGACACAGTCAGGATTTCAAACTCCCAAGTGGTTTTTTCCCCTCTGGATTAAAGCAAATGAGTGAATTACCATCCTTAGGCTTCCAGATTTTATAAGCAGTCAAATTATGGATGCAGGTTATGACCTCTCTTTATAAACATATTAAGTATGCAAAAGCAAAACAGTCACAACACAAGTTCCTGACCGAGGGACATGCAGAGACCGGTCACAGTTGTTGACTGCCCTGTGGGAATTATTCCCTCGAGCATCACTCCTGGAGTGGAAGAGATGAGAACTCCTAATGACAGAAAGTAATACCAGTAAAACATCTTACTCACAAAAGGAAGATGAGGGCTAACCTTCCACCCCAGTTCCAGTCAGTTGGGGCAGTTTTAGCAAAGACTACTGCAAAAAGCAGGGAAAGAAATCCTAATACAGTTAAAAGGAAGGGATGACAGCTAATCACAGCTAGAAACGAAGGTATATAGTCCTGTTCTGCCATACATGGAATAGTCAGCCTCAGGAGTGACTAGAGCAGGGCTGATGTCTTCAGCCGACTTTGGCGTTGATCCCCTCCAAGTCAAGATGATTTTGGTGTCATTAGGAGGGACTCTGGAACACCTCTGCTCTGGTGTTGCAGCCTTCTTTACCCAACTATGGTGGATCTTCAAGGGGACTCCTTCCACTTGGAAGGTGGTTAAAATGACTTTTAGTGGACCCTTCTTTTGGGCTGAAAGCTGTCTTGTCACTAGTCTTTTTATCAGAACTGAATCTCTTGGAGAGTAGGGGTGGAGCAGACTCAAAATGTTAACAGGGGCCCTTTCTAAGACCCAAGAAGCTATCTTTTGGGAGACCTTTCCTAACTCAATCAATCATCTTCTACCTTTTTTGACCACTTATTGGAGCGTGTCTTATTAATATACCAGTTTTTAAAAATTTTCTTTCCCAAGAGATCACAGCATTTGACCTTAAATTTGTGGCTTTGGCTTCTTGGTTGGCTCTGTCATCGTCCATCTATTCCTTAGATCCTTTTTGTTTTTTGGTACCAGGTATCAAACTCAGATCCTTGTGCTTACGAGGCAGGTGCCAGAACCACTGAGCTAAATCCCTGGCCCTCCTTAGATCCTTTTTGTTGTCCTCAGTAGTGGACAACTGTGATCTCCTTGGAAGCTCATACAGGTTCTAGGAGCCAAAGTTAAGTTTTGTGGGTACTTAATTGTTTTGCCCCTTGTTGTAATCTTTTTTGTTTTCTTAGACAGCCCAACTGCATAACTGGCCCTCTGTTTCCCAGTCTCATCTATGTGGTTATTCCTACCCATAAAGAGCTCCTATTCAGGCCACTGGAGAAGTTGGTCTTGCAGATCTGGCCAACTGGAGCATGGCCCTTTTACAATCATGTATGGGTCCTTCTAGAGGGGAAGGAGGGGAGCTGGGTTTAGGTTGTTAGAGACTTTCACACTGATTCAAGGGTTTTCACAGAGAAAATGTTGGTACTGGGTCAAACATTACTTGGTGGGCCAGTGGTGGCCTTCAGCATTTGTAAGGGTGACAACAGCATATGGGATTCGAATTCACAGGTCTCAGCCTAGAGTCAATTTTTTAGCATCTTTGGTCAACACAGCTAACTGCAGCTAAAGCGGCTGAAAGGCAAGGAGGCCACCTTTGTGTAACTCCACCTAGATGTTTGGACACATAGGCCATCGGTCTTTCCCAGGAACCAGGGGTTTGGATTAGCACCACTGCTGTGGTCCTTTTCTGTTTGATCACAGAGATTGAAAGGCTTGTAAAGGTCAGAGAGACCTAGTGCTGAAGCCTTCTGAAGCTTTTCTTTGAGAACACTGAAAGTAGTGTTTTTGTTTTTGTTTTTGTTTTTTAGGTTAGGGGCTCTTTTTCTCCTCCCTTTGTGGCTTTATAAAGGGGATGGCTAGGATGGCACAGTTGGGAATCTGTATCTTATAAAAGCCTGGTATTCTAAAGAACTCTCACGACTGTCTTACATCCCAGGCCTTCTGAATTGGCCAGTCATGGAGCCTCAATTATTTTTCCCAGAGGACAGACAGTTGGGGCCAGGATCAACCATGGAAAGTAGCAGTTCAAAGTGCAGTTTTCTACCCATAAAATCAATTTTGGCCCTTAACTTGGCCAACAAATCCCTTCCTAAGCGGGGAACTGGACAGTCAGGAATGTACATGAACTGATGCACCACCTCTTGGCCCCCCTATTTTGCAACTGGCAAAGGATTTTGCTTTAGTTTGTCTGGTGGCCCCCTTGATATCAACTGTCTTACAGCTGAGAGGCCCAGTGGGAAATATCACAGCCAAGTGATGTGTTCCCAGCAATTAGGTCTGGAGAGTCTGTCCAATGAGACTTCATGGAAGAAGCGGGGGACATAGTAGGCATTGGGAATTTGGGGCCAAACCAGAGGTCAGACAACATACACAGTGGAATCAAAATGGAGGGAGGTTGTGAGGCTGTAGCTGGCATGGGGCCTTTCTGAAACTGAAGGGCCTGACTCTGGTGGTGCCAAGGTCCCTGGGGTTTCCTCCTGTAAGATCAGATAGTGAGTTTGCTTTCCTATGACTATTATTTTCTAGTAACCTGTCTAAGCCTGAAAGAGGAAAAGAAGTTTCTAGTAAAGGGGAAGTTGGTCTGGGAGCAGGAGGCTTAAAACATCTAAAGCTGAATTATCTGGATCACCGCCCCCAAAATCGGTGGAGTTTTGGTAGGTCTTCGCTCGTCTGGATGGGCTGTTACAGTGACCAGAACTCAAGAAAGGGGTTCCAATCAGCCAAGAGAGTGGACAAAGAATTAGCTGTAACCCTGAGTCCACATAAGAGAACTGATCTGGGTACCTGGAGCTTTCTAGCACAACCTAAAAACCTGCCACACTTTCTGGACTAAGGTTTTTTTAATAATAAGCCTTATGGGGGCCATCCAACCTGAAAGCATGGCCACTCTATCTCACAAGGGTTTTGGGTTTCCCTGGAGTAAGTTTTTGACCATAATCTTCCAGTAAATCCCTTCTTAAAAGTTTTGTGGGTTTTTTGTTTCGTTTTACTATGGTTCCCACCCACAGTTTTACCTCCCAAAGAAAGGAAAGACAAATGACATCAATCACCTCACCATCAGTCAGTCTCCTCTTGGAGATATTTCAGGCCCCTCTTAGCACTGCAGGCCAGTGACCTGACTATCATCACGCTGCTTCCCTAAGCCGTATGAGGTGGCCCTGGACTTGTGGTTCAGGACTCTACACTCACTTCAGCCCTGTGCACTCCAACCAGAGTCAGGAATGTGACGTTCATCTCACTCACATACAACCAAATAAAAACTCCCACCTGCCAACAGTGGTGACCAAACATGCCTTCTAGCATCCTAAAGTATTCCAGTTTCACTGCAGTTCTGCAGCTACTCGGGGAACCCAGAGGGTGATCAAGCCTCTTTTGGAGACTCCTCCTTGGATCTCCTCCTCAAAGCGGAGCCCCTCGACCTTACTGTGATTCAGAAGTCTGCCAAATGACATTTGGCCCTTGCCATGTGAATCCTCCTCAGGCAGCCAGCTGGGGTGCCTCAGCTGGTCGTACGGGGAGACTCTCACAGGACAGGACATATTCTGTCAGCAAGCACTCAGCAGGAACTTGCCGTCCAGCCAGCTGAGCTCCCCTGCTCTGCCCATAGGGGAGGCAATCTGCCTGCTGCGAGTGACTATGCCAGGACCCAATGCTTCCCAACCAATGCTCCAAAGGAAGCAGGAAAACACTGAGGACCCTGGAACAGACAATTCTCTTAATGTGAAGATAGGAGCAAAAAGTGGCTTTTAATGATGCCAGCAAGTCAGCAAGTGATTGACTCCTGTCAGTCTCAAGAGCCCTGAATAGAAGTTTGCATTTCCTTATATACCTCTTCTTACATAATGAAGTTTAATTCCATTGGAGCTTCCCTGGGAATATAGCAAGCAGATTGATGCAAAGCAGAGCACCTGAGTCTGTTACACTCCTCTGGTGACAGATTACAGAAGTTGTCAGGGCTACTCAGGTACATTCTACAAAGAGCAGTAAATCCACAGTTGCCTAGTAACACGGTTAACCCATAGTTGCCCAATTCCACTGGGAGGGGTGGTCTCTCTCAAATCAGCAGATCTAAAATTAAGACCTACCCACAAATGCATTTATTATGGTACATTTTGACTCCTAGCTCATTAATGGAAGCATTTATATCAATTTTTAATGGCAGGCTGATGGGCAGGGTTGCTAAATGGGCCCATTTCAGGTTTTTATATATATTGATATAGATACATTCCTTTTTTCTTTGTGCAATTCTAGAACTTAGGGAGAAAAACAGTCAAACGTAAGTTTTTAAACAACTCCTATTCATATTTAAAGTGGATTTCCAGTTCTTGTAAGAGAAACACTAATAACCCACTCGAAGCTACCTCTCTAATATGTTATACTATTCATTTTATTTTTTTTTCTCTTATTGAGTTTATTGGTACATTTTAGGTACACAGTACAGTTACATTCATCATTGGGATCTTGTACCTTTACATGACAGGTTTTGGCTCTCATTTTTCCCCTTGTCCCTGCCCTCCCTTCACCCCCTCCTCTCCTCCCCTCCCCATTTACAAATACTTTATTGCCATTTTTTCATTTTCCCATATTTTTTTCATTTTCCCTTATTACCTTTCCCCTACCCTTCCCACTTCCCCTACACCTTTATCCCTTTTCTTCCTATTTCACATTGTCAATTATATACTATTCATTTTAAATCCTGAAGCTAATGCTCCAACTAATTTCTAAAGAATGTTGTGTCAATTTAATAATGCTAAACAAATTAATTTCCTTTTACACATTCACATTTCAAAAAGATCTAAAGCAGAATGAAATGGAGCTCACCGAGGCTTTACAGATATGCCCTGTGATCTCCAGCAGGGTTTCCCAAAAGCAGTATGACTAGCCTTTGCGGCTGGAGGTGCTATCGCGGGCCTGGTCTTACATGCAACGGAGGAGGTTTTTCCAACATCTCTGGCCCATACTCAAAAGATGGGAGCCAGACACATTCACAAAGTCTCCAGAGACTACCAAATGTGCCTAGGACTGATGGGGAGCGATCACTGCTGGTTGCAAACTACTGATCTACTGAAGAAATCTTGGACAAGGTCCAAGCCTGATCCATCTTTGTCACTCCCTCTCCCTCCAAAACCTCCCCACACCAATACTCTTCTAAATTCCATGATACCTCCACCTTCTTGCCCCCCAGTTACTCACTCTGGCCACTATGGCTGTTTAAACACTTCATTTGCTCTACTTTTTTTTTTTTCAGTACTGGAGAATGAACCCAGAGTCTTCACACTGAGATGTGTCCCCAGCCCTTTTGAAATGTTTTATGTTGAGACAGGGTCTCACTTAGTCACTCAACTGCCCAGGCTCCCAGAGTGCTGGGATTATAGGATGCACCATCCTATACCTATTTTAATGACCTGTTACACATATCTCGGCCCTGTCTGACTCCGAGCCTTTATTGTTATAGACCACTTTTCTCCATTTGCCTATTCCCACCATTGAGCACAGGGCAGGTAAAATATTCCAAAGTGTTGACTGCATTTTAAAATTAAAATCACACCCTTCTAAGGCGACAAAAATCAGCAAAAAGATTGCCTCTGGAGATTAAGTGGAAAGGTAATAGGAGGGTATCTTCTGGGATGACAACAGTGTTCTGGATCTTAATCTGGATGTTAGTTCTATGGGTGTATGTATTTGTCAAAACTCACCAACCTGTATCAAGTCTATGCATTTTACTGTATTACATCCCTCAAGGAAAATGAATCACATGCTCTTTCGTCTCAGTGGCACAAGCACGATGATGAAGGGAACATCATTGTCTGGAAAGCGTAATAAGGCACGTGTTGTGCCACCGTTGTGGCTCTAAGGCCTACCACCTTCAGAAGCCAACCTGTGGCAAATGTAACTAACTGCCCTACCAAGAGCAAGAGAAAGTATAACTGGAGTACAAGGGCTACAATGTGCATGAGACACCTAAAGATTGTGTATCAGATTCAGGCACGGATTCCATGAAGAAACAACACCTAACCCTAATAGAGCAGCTGCTGCAACGTCTAGTTCACCTTGAGTATTTCAGTGATTACTAAAATAAATGCATTGGTTTTAAAAGATTAAAAAATAAAATCACACGTACCTCTTTTGGCAGCTTCATGCAATGGATTGTCAATAGATTCTGCCTGCTCAGCCACTAGATTGAAAATAAAAAGTACAAGGCCAATGTTGAGAACGCTCAAGGGATTTGCTGAAGCCACTCATGCTGCATGGGTCCCCCAGATTCATGAGTGCCAGAACCTTGGACAAGACAGCTTCCTGCACTTAGCATGGATTAAAAATAACATAAAATAAAACCGATAGTGCCTACTTTAAGAGGAGCTCAAGTATGTGTTAAATGAAACCAAGTCAAACAATAACACAGTAACACATAATTAACTAGAAGTATAAACAAAAGAAAACAGCAATTAACTAGAAATATAAACAATACCAAGTAGATTCATGACCCGTATTTCATGAACAAACCCACTCACAAAAATACAAAAGAAAGTAGCCTGTGTCCAAATCCCTATTCCCTTGTGTATGTGCAAGTGGGGGTGGGGGGAAAGTTTTGCTTCCTGTATTCCTGTCTTTAAAGGTCTGTTCACTGTGGTCTTAGAATGAGTAGGAATGACCAAAGAAAGCCTGTGGTTCAAGGACTGCGGGACCATCCACTCCCACCACCAAAGGGCTGTAACAGGACACAGATCCAAAGCATCAGAAGTACATTTTCCACCCATAATGTTTATGATCAACACAGGAAAATGAGTGCACCCACTGTAAGGGTATGTTTGACACTTCAAAGGCTTACAGGAGTGTAGAAATGTCTAAAGTGTTTAGTTTAGTTTTGTTAAAGAACAGTACCACCCTAGACCAGAGTGAGTAGGACTCCTGTGCAGGGCCTGGGCTGTAGTCCTCACCTCTACATTCTCCCTTGACATTTTCTAAGTCCTTTTCCAGTGCTTGAAATTGGAGCCTGATGCGAACTCTATCAATCCAATGGTGCAAGTGATGTTAAACTCTAAAGGGATCCTAGATTGACCAGATGAATTTAACCCTGTCACTAAGCAGATAAGGACAGCGAACCCCAGAGGTAGCACTTAGATGTCTTAACTAAAATACCCTGCTTGAAAGAATCCCAGAACTGTGCTTAACAGTCCTATGCTCTTTGGATGTTGCTGATTTATATATACATATTTTTACAGGTTGTTTTTCCCCTTTCTAGCTAGAAGCAGCTTCATGGCAGTAGCTACATGTCAGTGCTCAAGCACCCCAAACTGCTGTGACAAGCATTTCATGAACTTCCCTGCCTCAACATGAATTATGAGGGTAGGATTTCCTCATTCCAAATGAAAAAGCTAGTCTCAGAAAAAATCTGTAAGATTTAGGTTAACAGCATTAAAGAAAAAGTATTAAGAGCCGAATAGACTAAGACCATAAGCATTTCACTGAAAACCTTGGGTTTTTTCAGCATGCTACAATGCATTCTCTTAAGCCAAGGAGTTGGGCTCAAATACATCTGACGTCCATAGCCATTTTATTAACAGGAGGCTCATGGAGTAGAAGACGTTCCAGAATGGCAAAGACTCCATTGATTCCACAGCTCCAGCAGCAAGCAGAAAAGCCTCAAGAACAAGATGACTGGAAAGGAACAAACGCAATGTAGCTAAAGAAAGCCACTCCAGCGGCACTTACCATAGTTACTTGGAATTAGTCCCGTCTTGCCTTTCGCAGTTCCTTTCCACCAATTGCTATCACTCTGGTAAAAGAAGATTTGAATTAAGTAGTGCCAAATCCAGTCTGCATTCAACCGCTTCCAAAACCATCTGGCTCAAAGGGTGTACCTAGTCTACAAATGCCTATCAGCCTTGCCCACATCTGTCTATCAAGTCCCTCACGCCCTGGCTCAAGACCTCTACTTCCCTTATCATTAAATCACAGGTATCCAGCACCCAGCTGTAACAGATCAAGTCCACTTCATCACACAGCCCAGAGATACTATGAAAAAAAAAGGAAATGTTACGCTAGTTTCTTATCAAGAGTTCAATTTCTTTTATGTTGAGGTATTTATGTTTTGAGAGGTTTTCTTTCTTTTTTTTTTGGTACTGGGGATTGAACTTGGGACCTTCCCCGTGTGAGGCAAGGCAGCAAAACCACTGAGCTAAATCCCCGGCCCAGAGGGGTTTTCTAAAGATCTCTTTATTTGTAAAGATCACCTTTATTTTCCCTTAACTTGCCATGGGCAAATTGTATCATAGAAAAATTACACAAAACCTTTACAAAAGTAGAATGAACAATAGAATAAACTACTTCCTAACTAAATGGATCATTTACTCCCACTCAACAGTGTTTCACATATAACCTCCAACCAAAACTCCCCTCACTCTGAGGTTATTTTGAAATAATTCTAGATATTTCATCTGTAAATATGGCAGTATGTAGCAATGAAAGGATTTTTTCCAAAGACAACTGTAACACATTATCACAGCTGACAATTTTCTTAAAAATAATTCCCTAATATCATCAAATGTGTAGGTCAACAATCAAATTTCCCAGGTGCCCCATAACTTAAGATCCTAAATATGACCGATATGCCTCTTATGTTTCTTATAGGTTTCCCTTCTATTCTTTTTTAACCTCTCGCAATATGTTTGTTGAAGAAACCCATTTGTCCTGTAGAGTTCTAGTAGTCTGGACTTTGCCTGCTGCATATCTGTGCTATCATTAAATACCGTCCCCTGTTCCCTGTAACGCCCATGAATTGGGTGGAAGTTCTAGAGGCTTGATTAGATTTTAGCTTCACATTTCTTGGCAAGGGTATTTCACAGGCAGCATTGATTTCTTCCACCAGGAAACAGGTCATGTGTGATGGCCTCTGCTTTTGTAATGTTAATTACCACTGATGATCACTGTCTCCATCCGTTATCTCTTAGAGGGTGCAAAGTGGGGACAGCTTATCACTCCTTCCTCATTTAAATAACTAGCACATCTCTTTAAAGAGAAACTTTCCCTCATCAACTCTGAGGTTAGTCACACATAAACTGCAAAGAGAAAAGACAGAAAGATGCGATTCTTTCCCTACTGGTTGTCAGAATAAAAAGCTGGTTCCCTAGCACTCTCTCATGCTGACCAATGGCATCAGTTTTGAGGTAACATCAGGACCTCAATGTACTGCGATCCTTGGAAGCTGTTGCCCTAACTGATGCTCAGACTGTCCTGTAAAGGTCACTGGACGGTCCTGTTAGCTCCTGAGTCCTTCTAGCATGTCCCTTAGACCTCAGGAGCTTCCTCCTTCCTAGTAATGAAGTGTTCTGGGTTTATTCTGTACCTTTGCTGCTCCAGACCTAGTATTAGACATTTCTCAAAGGACCTTTATTTCTTTTAACGTGAATTAATATAATTGGGTTGGTCATTTTTTTAGAGTCTGAATAATAGAGTAAGGAAGATTTTTTCTTGTTTTAAGGTAAAGTACAACATGTACTCAAATCAAACGCAGGACTCTCAGTTTCTCCCCAACCTCACTATGTTACATCTGCATCTCCTGCCTCCCCTGCTGAACACCCTGTTGGTCAACACCACTGATCTAATGACTCATTTGTTCTCAACCACAATATCCACACAACAGTCTCAGAAATAGCAACAACACTTCCCCAACTAGATCATGATTTAAAAGTTTTGCTTTTTTTTCCCCCCTGGCAGTTCTTTTTGTCCTCTATAGATCTTGAACTAGGAATTAGTCAAACTGCTGAGATTTAAAGTCACTTGGACCACCTCCTCTCTGTGTCTTGCCAATTACTAGGATATTATTAAGGGCATTTGATTTGTTCTGCTTTTAATTTTTTATGAATTTTCTACTATATAATTTTATAACTATGTAAAAGTTTATATGATTCCAAAGTCAAATCTTCAAAACAAAGTATGTTTGTTCTGCCCCACTTCCTTTCTTCCACGTAGAACTATTTTTAAAAATTTGTATTCATGTCCTCATTTTTTATTTTGTCATGAAGAGCAGAGTTATACATATTCCCTTTCCCCTTCTTAGGTAAGTAAAGGCATATCATATGCATCTTTCACCTTGCTGATTTTCACTTTACACACTCCACAGTAGAACAGAAATATTTAGCACTCCATATAACTGAATAATATTCTATATTTGGCTACACCAAAGGCCAGTCAACTATTTTCCTAGTGATGAACAAAAGGGCTACTTTCAAACTTGTGCTACTAAAAACTGTGCTAAAATCAATGGACTTCTGCATACATATTCCTGTGTACGTACACGTTTAAATCACTTACAGTGCCCTAAGTATTTAAAATAGTGTTACAATGGGGAAAAAACAAGAACCAAAACCTATCATGTAAAGGTACAAGATCCCAATGATAAATATAACTGTACTGTTTGCTTTAAATGTACCAATAAACTCAATGGGGAAAAAATAAATTAAATAAAATAGTGTTTCATTATATGTCTCTGGTACACAAGTAATATTACAAAGTGTTAGTTAGACTTACCATGTCGGTAATGTAGATAATATCGCCTTCCTCGAAGTACAATTCATCTGGCTTAAAAAAAAAAAAAAAAAAAAAAAGTTTGACTCCATGTGATTTTTAGTGAATTCAAATATAATGATTTCTTTGATGATGTAATTATGAATTCTAAAGTACCCTTATATACATGTGGAATTTTTTTAACTAGGGATGGAACCCAGTGCTTTCATACTGAGATACATCCCCACCTTTTTTTTTTTTCTATTTTTTTATTTTGAGACAGGGTCTGGCCAAGTCCCTAATCCTGCCTCAGTCTCCCAGAGGGCTGGGAATAGAAGATTATATCACCATATCCAACTAAATTACTATTTAAATCACAAAACAAAACATTATCGACAAATTAATTTATGAATAGAAAGTTAAATTGTTCCCATGATGATCTTCAAATTACATATGTAACAAAGAAGTATTCCTCACACAAATGTATTTTATATTCTTATATAAAGCAAGGAATTTTATATCAAAATAGAATTCTAATAAAGAACATTTTTCTTTTTTTTTTTTTTTTTTTTTTTTTTTTTTTTTACTACGTAGTTGAGACTGACCTGGACCTCACTATGTAGCCGAGGATGGTCTCAAACTCACAGTGATCCTCCTGCCTCAGCCTCCCAAGTGCTGGGATTACAGGCATGTGCCACCACGCCCAGCCAAGAACTTTTTTCTTATAGAAATTGCAAAAGATAACATATATTTATTTTTTAAAAGGTAAGTGTCTAGACTATCATGAAAAATGCCAACATCTGCTATTTGCTTATTTTGAGAAACCATTACCCTCCCTGACATGAAGCAGTTCCTCAGATTTTTCAGAGACTGTAAGCAGCTCTCCTGGGTTGGCCAGCTATATAGTCCATACATGCTCTGGCCCGTATCAGCCAACAATCCTCGGAACCCTCTAAACAAAGCTACCCTTTAACTCGACATCTCCTCCCCACCTGTAGACGCCTACCACTGTTTTCTGAGTAAATAGGACAATGCCCAGTGAGAGTGAATTGCAGATCATCAGGCTGAGTGGAAAATGTAGGGCACAAAATTTCACATAGGATAAGAGAACAATCTGCATAAAATATGCATAGGAAGTTTTTATCATGAGCAAGTATTACTTTGATAATATCAGTGGGGAAAATACTTTTTAAAATGAATTTGAACTTCAGATCAGTTACTGTTCCATATAAATAAAAATTACACTAGTGAAGCAAATCATTTCATCCGTTCATTTTCCTTTTGCTTGCCTCCTCTCGGTAGCAGATTAGGCCAAGTACATCTCACTTTGTACCAGTAATTCATTTCCTTTCAGGGCTAATCAATATCATGATTACAATTATTTCTCCCTGAATATAAATGAACGCTATATCAACTATATGCTTTAAGCAACCAGAATACATGATACATTTAATCATAAAGGTTAGTAAATGATGATTAGTAATACTGCCCAAAATGGTTGAATTTTTTAAAAGGTAACTTCCTAAAGTTTTTGTTCTATTTACATTTTGATTTAGGGAGCAGACTTATACATAGCACAAGGTACACATAAATAATGATTTGAGTTTTAATTTTATTTGAAATATTTAGGAGAAAAGATTTTCAAAGATTTTCTCTAATCTGTCTTTACACTGTTTTGATGATCAATGACCGTGACAACACTGGAGGGATTCAGAAAGTGATTAGGGAGACAAACTATTTCCTTTAGTATTTGCTGAAAACTCAATCACTCTCAGCAAAGCTAGAAACACAGCTCTCAGCACCAGAGTGTCTGGCGGGACCCAAGGTCACCCTGTAACAGGAAGGACGGGCTTTCTGGCAATTTTAACACAATCTGACTCTCCAAGCCTTAAGACAAGGGGAAAGAAGGTGAAAGGAGAATGGTGCAAAAAAGAAATTAGGGTACACGTGAACGGCAGCTTTTTTTCTGTAAGGGCTCTGTTTTGTAAGGGTGAACTCTTGAAGAGCTCTTCACATCTTAGAGCTCTCTTCCAGACCACTGACTTTGTACATGCCCCTTTATGTCTTATAATGCAGTGTCCCCAAGCCCCAGTCTGCAGCCTATTAAAAAGGTGACCACACAGCAGGAGGTGGGTGTCCAGGGAGGGAAGCTCTGCCTGTGTTTACAGCAGCTGCTCCCTTAAGGTTCTCACAGGAGCGCGAACCCTAATATGAACTGCACACTCAAGAGATCTAGGTTGTGTGTTCTTCTGCATTGCCCCAAAGGCCCGCCCCGGTCAATGGAAAAAACTGTATTCCAGAAACAGATGCAGGTGCCAAAAGGTTAGAAAGCACTGTTAAATGGATGTTCCTCAATCAGTACTTTCATAAGTTAAGGAGTTATCATCCTCTATAGTTTTAGTCTCCTCCTAAAATTGAAATATCAACTCTGCTTAAATTTCCACTTTAAATAAGATTACTCACCCTTGAAACAAGAAGATATTATGAAAAAATACTGAACACAAAAAGTGCATACAGGTACACATGCACAAATATAAAATCCCAGTGATGAGCCTTTCTTGTGAAATGGTAAGTAATAAGGTAGTTGTTTTATAACACCATGACTATACTAAACATCACTGAAAGAGTCGCTTGAAAAATGACTGATTTTATGTTATGTGAATTTTACCTAATTTAAAAAAGTAAAACCAAATCCAGTTAAAAGTCACAGTATATTTTCAGCTATGCTTGTCCTTTGTGGTTTGGTAAAGTGCATCATTTGGAAAATGCCACTAAGTCCAGTCATTTCAATACTTCTCCGTGCTGATTTGGTTCTTAAATTAATGACTTCTGTGCAATAGTGGTATGTGCCACAAGCCACCATTAGGTCAGGCTTGCTTTTCAGCTGAGGCAACAACAGGCAGTCGATTGCAGTAGAAAAAAGGCTTCTCTCTTTTTAATACTAAGAAACAAGAGTGAACGGTTTATTGTCTTTTAATCAATAGTTCCCAGAAGCACAATCCCACTATCTGTAAAATAACTTCTTCCAAAGAAACTAGGGGTTTTTTTCTAACATGTCTAAAGAAGTAGTCCATCAAATTCTTCAGCCTGCTGGAGGCAATATAAGATAATTTCACGATTATAAAATCACATTTTTTGCCTACAGTAGTCATGCTCTCCATTAAGAAATCACCAGCAGGACACTTGTCACAAAGCGTCCAGTGAGGACCCACTTTTGAAATCTTGGCATCATATTCATGGAATATGGGAAAATAGTGAGTCAGTGAAGGAAGCATGCCTCTATTTCTAGCCCGTTCTTGGTTTTAACCGCATTCGTCTTTCCTCTCTCCTTGAAGAACCACAAGGTATGAGGACAAGTAAGCAGAGGCATCACAAAGCTGAATACAGGCTGGTGACCTATTCCTACTCCTACTCAGTATATCCTCCGTAACATGATTCCCAGGAAATTAATTCGGTTGGCTCATGCAAAGATATATTTTATGCCAAATTTAGAAACACTGTGATATCCGTTTGAAATTTCAGATTTAACCACCTTAGGTTCCAGAAACTAATGAAATAAATAAATGAATAGTTTAAAGTACTTATCATGTGTCAGGTACTTGTCTGGGCATTTACAGATATTCATTTAATCCTCACCAATTAACACTACGATGTGGTGCTATTCTTTTTCTTTCTTTTTTTTTGGTACCGGGGAGCAAACCCAGGACCTTGCCTTTGCAAGGTCTTATCTTATTGCCATGTGATAGATGAGAAGCTGGCCCAAGGCCCCAAGGCAGGTACTTGACAGAACATGGTCTTAACCTGCGACAGTCAGACTATGGAGCACCCAATTCTAAACCCCACTAATGCTTTCTCTACACAAAAGCATCAGGCATAGTCATTATTGATCACCATGTGTCATGACCAGGTTATAAGCTGGTGCCCTTGGAAATTATGTCATTCCTCACCCTGTCCCTACCCCAATAAAGCGGTACAACAAAGCCAGCAGCAACACCTTTAACTTGCATGGTGCACTTGACCTCATTTGGTCTTTGCAACAACCCAACAGGCAAGGCTGGGCCACGAGGATAATCTCTATTTTACAATTAGACCCAGCAAAGTTAAAAGAATTCGTACAGGTTGCAGTGGGGAGCAGGGCTAGGCTCTGACCTCAGCCTGTGGATTTCTGTTCTTGAGCTCTTTCTTCCACTCATGATGCTATAAAACCTAGCAGAGCCCAGCAAACCTTACATGCAGGGCAGGGCAGAGCAGGCAGGGCAGAGCAGGCAGGGCAGGGCAGGGCAGGACAGGGTCCTGCCTGTTTCTCTTTGGAAATCAGTACTCTCCCAGCCTGGGAAGATGGTGCTCTCTGATGTGTCATCACACTGGTCTTTCCAGTCCAATTCCTCCGCATGATTCTTTATTGGATTTTGGTTTGGGAGAGAAATAAGAACCAAACAGGGCTGGGTGATAGCTGGACTTTGCTCTACACAAGTCAGGAGAGAAATGGGCTGGCAGGAAGAGCCAGGAGCCACATGTTGCCTCATATTCTACCTCTTCCATGGATCACCTAGACAGGTTCGGCGTGGCTACTGCTATCTCCTGGGGCTGGAACCAAAGCTAAAAACAGGATCTAGGATTCTGCAGGCACTGCCCCATTGACAAGGTCACTTAGCACACTGCTCAGTCCTTAGATGTGGCCTGTTTCACATGACTTTGAGGGGGCCGAGTCCATCCATAGAAGACGGCTGCTGGTCACTGACGAGAAAGCAAGGGGTGCTCCAGTACTGTCCTACAGAAACTCTCACTCAGAAGCCAATGCAAACAAACCTGGCTCTGGTACAGTACTAAGACTTTAACCACCAGTAAAACATGGGCATGTCACAGGCAAAGAAGGCCTGGGGGAGCTGGGGGCTGCCTGTTCCACCAGCATCTGGACTGACAAAGGGGGAAAGGGGGAGTGTGGGCTGGTGTTCAGGAGATAGGCGGTCAGGATGCACAAACACCAGAGGACAGACCTACCTCATGCTACCTCATAATGACCCCAGGGAGGAGACCACTGTCCGCAAACCAAGGAGAGGCCACAGGAATCCAACAGTGCTACCACTCTGGACTTGTACTTTCAGAATTCTGGGGGGTTCTCTGGTGTGAAACTGAAAGTGTAAATAAGGTTCAAACGGTGTAACTGATAATGTGAAATAGGAAGAAAAGGTCTAAAGGACCACTGTCTGGGATCCATGGGACTAGAACCATTAAAAAATTCTGTCACGCTTTAAATGTATAATCTTTAAAAAATAAAATCCTAATGTATTATATGTGTATTTCCTCCTCCACAATCAATAATATCTAATTTTTTTAAGCACTGGAAAATCTCCACCTCAGAAAAATATAAATAAATTAATCAATATATCAATCTATCAAAAATGTTTGTGAAATATCTATTAATACAGAAGCTCCTAAGCTGCACCTGGTGGTGCCTATAATCCCAGCACTCAGGAAGTCTAGGCAGGAGGATCACTCTGAGTTTGAGGCCAGCCTAAGCTATGCTAAGACCATAATGCGCACCCACACACACACTAAGTAGAAAGAAACCTCTTCCAACAGGAACAATTATTCCTCGATAATAATAGTTTAGATATCACCTCAATTTATTCTCGCATAATTCCTAAGAATTTATTATTGTTACTCCCACTCTATAAATGAGAACACTGAAACAGAGAGGTAAGAGACTTTCCTTCAGGTCACAGAGCTGCTAAGGAGGGCGAACAGGTCCTAAAGCCTTACAATAGGCTCTGTGCTTCTGCGTTCGCTGCTTCCCTAGACTGCATGCCCGGAGCAGGACTGCAATACCAAATGCTAAAGTTCAGAGTGGTCAGAGAGGCGTTTTTGGAGGAGGAAGTAGCTCATTTGGGCTTAAAAGGCCGTTTTTGGAGGAGGAAGTAGCTCATTTGGGCTTAAAAGGCGCAACACCATGGTCCAGAAATGGTTCAGAGATAGGTGCTACTGTGGGTCAGACTTCGCCTGAGAGTGCAAGAAGAGGAAGGAGAGCCACACAGTGTGGCTGGAAAGGGGAGGCTGGACCACAGAGGACCACATCTGAAGTTAAAGAAGGATCTGACTCAGGCGATGGGACCAAAGCCACAATGAGGAACTTCAAAGGAGCAGAAAACGCAGATGCAGTGGAGAAGCTGGTGCTGGAAGTGAATGAAGCACAGGGGCAGAAGGCACCAGAGGAGGAAGAGGTGGTCAGTGAGAAAGGACAAAGGTGATGCCAGCTAAGGACACTGAGTGGAACGCGGAGAGAGTCAGCAGTCACCCCAAGTCTCAGGACTCAGTAAATGCAGGACCCATTCTGGAGTCAGCAGAAAATGGTCCACTCAATGAGCAACCCAGGAGGGCAGCTGATCATGACCACGCCCTCCCCAACTCCTATCTTCCTCATGGGAGAAGCAACCCGTGAAACAGCGGTAAGGACAAGAGGCATGAGATGATGACCCTTCCTGTGAGCAGGGGTTAAAAACAACTTCTGGGCCGGGTGTGGTGGGGCACGCATGTAATCCCAGCACTCGGGAGGCTGAGGCAGGAGGATCGCTGTGAGTTTGAGACCAGCCTGGGCTACACAGTGAGTTCCAGGTCAGTCTGAACTACATAGTGAGACCCTGTCTCAAAAAAACCAAAAAAACCTTCTGGGCCTCACGCTTCCCTACCACCTGGCACTTAGCAGGGGGTGGCTTTGAACCCTTATGCTGAAATATTAACCCCAATACCTCTGAGAATGTGACTGTGTTCCAAGTGAGGATCTTATAAGAAGCAATTAAGATGAAATGAGGCCTTTATGGCAGCCACAAGCCAGTGTGAATGGTGTCCTTAGAAGAGGCCATCAGGATGCACAAACACCAGAGGACAGACCTACCTCATAATGACCCCAGGGAGGAGACAGCTGTCCACAAACCAAGGAGAGGCCACAGGAATTCAACACTGCTACCACTCTGGACGTGTACTTTCAGAATTCTGGGGGGTTTCTGGTGTGAAAAACTGAAAGTGGCTGGGTGTGGTGGCGCACACCTGTAATCCCAGCACTCAGGAGGCTGAGGCAGGAGGATCACTGTGAGTTCGAGACCAGCCTGGGCTACAGAGTGAATTCCAGGTCAGTCTCAACTACATAGTGAGACCCTGTCTCAAAAAAAAGCTGAAAGTGTAAATAAGGTTCAAATGGTGTAACTGTAACTGATAATGTGAAATAGGAAGAAAAGGTCTAAAGGAGAAGGGGAAGTGACAAGGGTAGGGGAAAGGAAAAAATGAAATCAAAGTCTTTGTAAATAGGGAAGGCTGAAGAGGTGAAGGGAGGCAGGGGAATGGGGAAAATGTAAGAACTGAGATACGTCATGTAAAAATACGAGATCCCAATGATGAATGCAACTGCACTGTTTACCTTAAATGCACCAATAAACTTAATGGAAAAAAAAGAATTTGGGGGACTACCCTGTTGCTAAGGCCATGCAGCCTGTGGTACTCTTGTTACAGCAATCCTCACAAACTAACACGCTACACGTTCCCCACCCCTGTCAACCATCGCTGGAGAGAGAGTAAAATGCCACCAACCCTAGCTTTATCCAGAAATATTTTGTCTCCAAAGCCTTGGGAGGCCTCACCTGCGTGCACACCCCACGTTAGCTTAAGTACTCGCCACCATTTACGGGTGCGAATCATGGGGTAGCTTTGAATCTTTCCCTCACGCCATGGTAGCAGACCACAGGAGGGTTCTACTGTGAAGTGGTCAGTAGTGCTCCATTTTAAAACGAAGAACTGATGGGCTGGAGATTAAGTAACTCACACAGCAAGTAAATGACAAGTGTGGGATTCCCAGGCAGGCCCCGACCTGGGAGTGGTGAACTGGTGCTCAGAAGCCACCTCTAAAGCTAGGAACAGCAGGGCCCAGGGCAAACTCAGATGAAGCTGACAGCAAGCTGTCTTCCCAGGGAAGGGAGGCCCTGGTCTCTAGCTTATAAGGGAGGAGAATCAACCACAGTCCCTTCTTGGTGTCTTCGTTCTTTGCCTCCTATCTGAACTCCTGCTTCATTCTTAATTACTGCTTCATCAAAACCCTCCAACCCCAGGTGGCTTTCCACGCCTTAGTTAGAGGAATTCTTCTAAAACATCACTATCTAGTAAACCCCATACTCAGAACCTTCCAACCGCTTCCCATCTTCCCCAAAGGAGACCCACAAGGCCTGGCATGATCTGCCCTGGCTCCCCACTTGGCCTCCCTGCACTCATCTCCTGCCAGCTGCTCTCTGTCACATGTTTTCCAGGCTGCACTTTCTCCCCTGCTCTGCTCTCTGCTTTCCCACTTCCAAAGTCACCTTTACAGAAAGTCCATCCCTGGAAACCTACTGAAAATAGCACTCTCCTGCACTAGCCTCTTCACCCCCTACCCTCCTTACTGTTCTCCACAGCACTTGACCCCGACAATCACATCGTTTGTGCGCCCAGTCTGTCTCTCCCCACTGTGACACCAGCTCTGTGAGCCTTTTCTATTGGCGCGGCACTAACTCTGAAGTCTGGACCAGTGTCTGACACGTAACGAGCTCAAGGAAGCAGGGATGGACGGCTGGGTTTATGTGTGGATACTAGAAACTACAACCACCGAAAAATCCACACAGCAGAGACAGGAGATCAGCAGAAGGCGTCATTATGAGCGGCGTGAGACAGGTCACGAGAAGAGGAGGGGAAGGTAAGTGTACGATCTACAGGAAGGAAGGCTAAGATAGGGTCACTGTGCTTACAGAAAGAGCACCTGGGGATCCAAAGGCAGGCTGTGATGCCACTCAGGGAATAGCTACGCAAGATGGATCATGTGACCTTCAGACCTGGGAGCCAAGGATTTAGTTCAACGGCACCACCCCTGACCTGACTCAAAAGCACCAAGGTCCTGAATTTGATTCTTGGCACCAAAAAAAAAAAAAAAAAAATCAACTTGGGGGCTTAGCCTGCACACCTCAAAACAGCAGTAAATTTCCTATGTCTATACAAGAAAGAGCAAGCCAGGAAGGTCAAGAAAATGTCTAAATAAAATCACCTTAGGTTGCAATGTCAACTTTAAAGTTAAAAGCTGCATACTTACAGTTCTGGGTTCAAAGGTATACAGAGCTCTGTAGACTTTAACTTGCCCTAAAAGAGAAGGAAAAGCAACAAGTGATGAGTTTTATTACTTCTAAATTTGTTATATACAATAGCATCCTTTATATCCTTCAGGAGACCCTAATTAAAAGCCCATTAAGTACCTTTCCCACATAGGACATATTTTTAAAAAACATTTTTTAAATGAATGCAAGAATAAACGCACTTCTCTGAGGGATAACTTTGTTTCCTCCTAACAACAGGAGCTACATGATTATTTGTTTTGCCTTATGTAGAATCAGTCCTAACCCTAAGATTTAAAGTTAAAAAATAAAGGAGCTGGGTATGATGGCACATGTCTATAATTCCAGCAACTGCGAGGCTGAGGCAGGAGGGTCACCACAAGTTTGGGGCCAGCTTGGGATACACAGTGAGACCCTGTCTCAGAGGTGGGGGGAGGAAGAGAGAGAGATGGAAGGGGAGAGACAGAGGGAGAGAGATGGGAGGGAGGGAGGTAAAGGAGGAGGAACAAAGGAAGGAAGGAAGGCAGGCAGGAAGGCAAATCCACATGTTACACATCTACAATCCAGCACTAGAGAGGCGAGGGAAAAGGATCGCACATTTGAGGCCAGCCTGGGCTAACCAGCGAGTTCAAGGCTGACCTGAACTACATAGCAAGATCTTGTCTCAAAAAATAAATATATAAACAAACAAATAAATACACATGCACAGACACACAGCTATATAAAGAGGTTAGCAGGGCTGGGATTTAGCTCAGTGATGCTGCCAAGGCACAGTACCACGGAGTAAATAAAACAACTTGCGGAAATCTGTGATCCCATTAAGGGCCCAAGGAGAAGATGTGCACTAACGAAGCAAAGATGACCACATGAGTGTCCTCCTCACACTGCCGAACAACGCCTCCCTTCATCCACCCATCTTCAGCATTTCCATAACACTGCCTCAAATCCCTGAAACTGCGGGCCAGCATCCTCTGAGGGCAAGACCCCACCTGTTCAACTTCCTAGCCCTACAGGGTACAGCATAGACTTAAGTTTCTTAAATGAACGTTAAGTATAAACTCAAACAGTGTGAGATCTACAGAGACCTAAAAGGAAAAAGGATGGGTCGTTCACAAAATAAAAAGATTTAGAAAGCATATTAAAATAGGACTATCTATTCCCTTGAGTTGTTTTTCTGAGGTATTTGGTGATAGTGAAAAAAAGCTGACTTGCTCAGAAAGGCAGGTTAAAACACTGATATGCCACGTACATCCTGTCTACAGTAACCACACTCTCTCTCTCTCTTGAATGTCAGCACCACTTATGGGAGCCCGTCACATTCTACTTTACATAATTGTTTGAGTTCTTTGCATTGAGCACGTAGGGCTTTCATAATCCATGAAAATAGTAGCAACCATTTCCTGTGGGCCAGAGAGGAGGAATCTTTCCCTTTCCTCTGCCACCTTAATACGAAAGCAGCTCACATCCTCTGTGACTTACTGTGTCCACCAGACAACTCCTTCTGCAGTCTGGATTCTCATCTCGCACCTCTCCTATTGGATTAAGGGAAGGTTCACAGGAAGAAGCAAAAGTGAAAACATTTTTTTTCTTTGTCTGCATTACTTTTGTTTTACCCCTATCCACACACCATCTGGAGAAAGGAAACACCAAATGGAAGGAAGAGCTGCCAGGAGAAATATTTTCTGCTGACCTCATTGTCCAAGAGGGGAGATTAGTTATCTCGATTACTTCCAACTTTCCACAGGGAAGTCACACAAGGTAACGACAGACTCTTGTTCCCTGGAGTGAGTGGGAATATGGTGGGATATGGGATATGCGGCTGATTTTGGAACCAAGACCTAATGTCAACTTAATAGGCTGCAGTAAAATTCAGTAAAAATTAAAGCAACTGAAAATAAGTATGTGGTATATGACTAAACAGTCTTACTTAAAGTGTTCATAACTGAAAGGAAGTGGACGGCTTATTTGCATTTTGATTTATACTAACACTGAGTAGCAGGCAACTCCTCTGGAGATTATACAGAGGAACCTCGTAGAAAACTCACATACACAGTCCTATTTGTTGCCTAATATTGAGATATTAACTTCACAGATCTCTTTAAATATATATATATTATAAAAGTTCCGAGCTTTAATTTATTCTATGCTCTGAGTTGGCTAGAAGTGAAAAAAATAGAACCAGTCAGAAATAGGAAATGCATAGAAAAACATGACTTTCATGATTACAGTTTAACAATCCCATACATTTTCTCTCAAAAGGACAATTAGGCTACTAACTCTCAAATAATTCTTGTATCATACTTAATTAACTCTGAGCAACTTTCCATAGGTATAGAAGTTTACAGAAAGTACCAAGGAGAAGTTAGGGTACTCTCTGATTCTATATTGTTATCCTTGCAGACATCTAAAAACCACAATACATTCACCAGAAACGAACAGTAAACCAGGCGTCGTGGCCCATGCCAGCAATCCCAGCACTTGCAAAACTTAGACAAGAAGATTGTTACAAGTTCAAGGCCAGCCTGGGATACATAGTGAGTTCAATGACAGCCTGAGCTATGCAGGGAGACCCTGTCTCAAAAACAACAAAACAAACAAAAAGAAACAAGTAGTAGATGTTTCAATTTTCTTTTGTTGTTTTGTTTCATCACTTTGGTTTTGTTTTTTGAAACTGGGTCTCCTTGTGTGGTTCAGGTTGGCCTTGCACTCACTATGTAACTCAGGCTAGACTCAAACTTGCAGAGATCCTCTTGTCCCACCCTCCTAGGTCCTGGGATTACAGGCATGTGCTGCCATGGCCAGCCTCAAATTTATTTACAGAAGGTAAGTTCACAGACAAGAAATGAGTTGTGCTGTTGTACATGGAAGGAAAGAGGTTGAGTTAGATGTCTTTCAGGCTCTCTCTGCTTGACCAAGTCTGGTTACATATAACAAAGACAGAAAGAAAGGGGCTGTGTGCAAACCTTGGGAATGATCTGAAATCACCATTCACGGGAATAAAGACTGGAAGGAGGAAAGACTGGAAGGAGGTCCAACCCTCTGTCTGACACTTTAGGCAAATGCTGCAAGAACCAGCATCATGTTCATAGTGCAGCTAGAAAAGGACTTCAGCCAACAAAGCAAGACAAGCAGAGGCCCACGACAGTAGGAGCACCAGCAGGTACCCAATACTGCACATTCTGCCCTTTCCTTTTCTTGTCAAGTCCACCCGGCCCCCTCCACAGAAAGGGGGCAAGTCCACCAGTCACCAGCTGGACACTGTATTTTCCTCCCCGACTTCCATATGTGAAACCTCATCCATGGCAGGAGAAGCAGGGCAAAATGAAGGAAGGAGTCCAGGATAGGGTCTTCTACAAGCAAAGAACAAAGAAATTTCTTCCACTGGGTACATGTCAGTGCAGCTCCAAAGCCCTGAAACAGTACTTAGCTTACAAACTCAACACGGAATTTCTAATCTGTTTTATTCTGGGTTGGTAAAGGAGTGGAGGAAAAGTTTCTAAAGAGAACCACCAAGGCAGTACAAAGGGGATTGCTCACTATAAGGGAGAAAGCTACAAGGAAAAAGACCAAAGCATTGTGGGTTCAAGTCCAGCAGGACAAACTACTGCCTTAGCAAGACCCTGTCTTAAAAATAAAAATGAGCTCAGCGCAAAGGTCCTGGTTTCAATCTCCAGCACCAAAAACAAAAACAGCCAGGTATTTAACTCAGTGGCACTGTGCCTTATCTGGCAAGTGCAAGGTCCTCAGTTCAATCCCTGGTACCAAAAAATAAAAACAATAACAAAGCTAAGAAGAAGAATGACCACAGGGCTAGGATTTAGCTCAGTGGTTCTGCCACCTGCCTTGCAAGCACAAGGACCCAAGTTCAATCCCTGGTACCAAAAAATAAAAACAATAACAAAGCTAAGAAGAAGAATGACCACAGGGCTAGGATTTAGCTCAGTGGTTCTGCCACCTGCCTTGCAAGCACAAGGACCCAAGTTCAATCCCTGGTGCAAAAAAAAAAAAAGAGGAATGACCATCCAAAATATCAGATTGCAGTTATGTGTATTAGATTGACTATTTCACTGAACTTGAGAATGTCAGGAGACATAAGACATTTGAGAGAGGTTTTATTGAAATGGGCTATGAGGATTACTTACTATACATTAGTATATGCTAACATAAGGGCTAAAATTAAAACTATCAACAATGGAAAAAATATTAACAATGGGATAAATTACATTACATCCAGATAAGGGAATATTATTAGCATTAAAAAGAAATAGATTAAAAAGCCATTAAAAGATGGGGACTTCAATGCATACTACTAATCTGAAAGATTACATACTATATGATTCCAGCCATATGACATTCTAAAAAGGCAAAACTATGGAAACAGTAAGCAACATCAGTGGTTGCCAGGGGCTGGTGGGGAGAAAAGGGTAGATAAGTAAGTGAATGCAGGGACTTTCTGGGCAGTGAAACCACTCTACATGATCCTGTAATGGTGGACAGTGTTTGTCAAACCCATAGGATGCACGAGAGTGGACACTAATGTACACTATGGACTTCAGGCGATAACTGTACATCCAGTTTACTGACTGTAACAAATGTATTATTCTGACAGGAGAAATTCATAAAAGGGGAGCTGGCTGTCATATGTAGGGGACAGAATATACGGGAAATCTTTGGACCAATCTCTGAGCTCAATTTTACTGTTAACTTAAAATTGCTCTTTTAAAAAAAGTCTGAACTTAGCATGTTTTACATTTTGAACAGGTATGGCGGGCATATCTGTAATCCCAGCACTCTGGGAAGCTGAGGCAAGGGGTCCACAAATTCTAGCCTCGCCTGGCAACTGCGGAAGACTCTGTCTTCAAATAAAAAGTAAATAAAGACTGGAGATGTGGATCAGTGCAAAGACCCTGGCTTCAATCCTCAATTTCCCCCAAAAAAGGTACATATGGCGCATTTATGATCTGGGATTTCCAGATTAGGGGTATTCAACCAGTAAAGTGTATGCAAATATTCAAAAAAATCTAAAAAACTCT